AGTATCCTGTGATAAACGATAATGGAAACAAAAGTCTACATGTATATAACTGAGTCACTTTGCTGTACGGCAGAGATGAGCACAACATTGTACGTCAACTATATGTCAATTTAAAAAAAGACAAAACCTAAGAATTCTGTGGTGTTTTTTTTTTTTTTCAATCACCCGTTCCTGTCCTTCTTCGACTTTGCAGGTACCATGACAGTGACATTAAGGTAAAAGTAAAGAATTGTTCCCTTTGGTTTTATTTGCTTGATTTTAGATTGCCTGGATGACTCGAGAATAGCACACAGAGGTTTCTCAAATTCAGGTCAGAGGCCAAAATAATGACTTCTGATGGCCTTTCCCCCCCTGCACTTGTGTTCTTCTGTGAGCTGTTTTGTTAAGTTTTACTGTTACATTTAAAACTTCTTACTGGTAACGTTTAGCCAGCAGTGAATAGGGAGAAAAATGAGAGTGGTTTACAATTAAAAAATTATTTGCTTACGGTAGATTTTAAAGATGCTGTTGTGAGACTTGCCTTGAATGACATGTAAGTAAGAGATTTTCCTTGCTTGAGGTCTTACTGTTCTGGACTAATACTAATTAGTCTAAACAAATTGAATAATCTTTATTCAATTAGTTAACAACAACAAAAATTTGAGTACTTTGCAAAAGGCTCAGTGTTAGGCATTTATTATCCCTGGAGTACCAGCTTCCTGAGGTCAGGTACTTGTCTCTCTTGTTGTCTTCCAAGCCCCTAGATTCATGCTGGCACATAGAAGGGACTCAGTAAGTGTGTGTAGGACGGATGGTTGGATGAATAGGTGGATGGGATACAAAAACAGAATTGGGCAGAGTACTGGACTTAAGTTAGCTGTCTAGTAAATATGGCCACAAGTAGCCACAAATCCATAGCTTATGATCTTGACAGCAGTTTCACTTTGGGGTTGTTACGGGAGTTATGTCGAAATCTGAGAAAATCCCGAAAGGAAATGAAACATTTCCCTAAGTTGTGTCAATTCTCCAAGTCACCCGGTTTGGAAATCTTGATCCTCTGTCTCCATTCTACTCACCAGCACTTGTGGAGCTTTCCTTTGAATTGCTGGGTGAATCGTCCCTTCCCTGCCATTCTATCTTGGCATTTCCCTCATCCAGACCCCCATCCCCTTCTGCCTAAATTGCACTAGCCTTCTGGTTTACCTCCCTGACTGCGGCCTCTCCTCAGTGTAAGCCAGCCTGGATATTGTTGCCAGATTTTGCCTTTAAAGAATGTATGTCAAAGGAAACTATTTCTGATTGAAATTTGAGCCTCTGTGCATCTTTATATTCATGGAAAGAAACTAGCTGAGAAAGCTTTGAGAAGGGAAATCACCCTTTCAGACCATAGTAGCATTTTCACATCTACAGGCAAGTCTAGTTACAAAGCTCTGTAGACTTGATTCAACTCACTGACACCCTAGAAATATCATCTCTAGTCCTGACTGCAAACCTCTCTGTGGCCTGTGAGTACTCAAACACCGATGTTTTTTCAGACAAAACAAACATGTTTGTGGTCACTTTGACATCTTTTGGAAATGCTAAGAAAAGCTGCTTCTTGGAATCCACTGCTTTTTCAATTCTATATTCGGTTGATAAGAACACCCTCCCTGTGAACTCTAACAAGTTTCAACTACATTTGTCAGCAGAAAAACATGGATTAACTGCAACCCCCCCATATTGTCATAATTTAATAATGTGTATCACTTTCTTTTGGGGATAAAAATGAAATATTTTTAGTGTCAGAAGGGACTAAAACTTTTTGGTCAAATCTTAAGACAGATATCTAACCTGTTTAGTAATGTGACATTTATTTGATAAGTTCCATTTTATTAGATAAGTTCCATCTTGAAAATATGGGTAAAAATGACGGATTTATTTTTAAAAACATTTCAAGTCTACCCTAACCTCAGAAGCATAGTATTTAGCATTTCCTTTCTTTAACTGACTTTTCAAAGGAGAAACGCTCCTTCATTGTCCTTCCAAAAGTGGGCTTGAGCTGCAAGGTGTTTTAGTGACAGAATTCCCGTTCAAGTTAAAATTCTCTCCATCTGCTCGAACAACGTCAGTCTTTGCTGCTAAACTCTTGAAGGCAGGTAGCAGTTAAGACTTCTTTTGACTTTTTTTTTCTTTTAATCTCAAAATAAATGTTAAATATCCCTCTCATTTTGTCTCTCGCTTAAAAAGCTCAGTGATTTTCTTAGTTCTGTTTCATAAACACGTACTGAATGCTTCTCCAGCATACTCAGAGGAACTGTCTTTCTGGTCCTAGGGATATAAGCATGACTGTCATGTGGCCTCTTTCCTTCCAGAGCTCATAATTTAGGAAGGGAGACAGGTGAGTAAATAACTAACTACAATCCTGCTTGATAAATGCCACGTTGGAGGTTTTGCACGAAGTGCTGTGAGAGCACCAGGAGTGATGGATTTAAGGGAAGAGGGGGTGGGGACGGGAATCGGGAAAGACTAAACAGCAGAAGTGACATTTGAGTTGAGCCTTGGGGGATGAATAGAATTTTGCCAGATGGACAAAGGGGTGTGGGGGTGGGGACCCTCCAGACTCATACAAAAACATGAGAGTGTGAAAGTTTGTGCCTTTGTCTGAGACGTGGTAAGAGTCTTAAGGCTGAAGGAAGAGTAGGGTTATGGAAGGGGGTGTCGGGAGATGACGTTGCAGAGATCACTGGGGCCATGTTGTAAAGCTTAAGTTTGACCTGTAGCTTCTAGGGAGTCGTGACAGTTTTAAAATAGGGGAGATCTCTGGTCTAGAAAGATCGTTCTGGCAGCAGAGTGTAAGGCGATTTGAATCGGGGTGACTGGGAACAAGGAGACCGGTTGGAGGCTATGAGCTTCTTCTACATGAGAGATGATGAAATGGGGCATGGACTTGAGAACCAGCTCCAAGGGAGGTCTTGGGAATTGATGAGATGTGGCCGGGGGGTGGAGGTGAGGGGGGGTTGGATGACTTGGGAATACAGTGATGCCGCTAGAGAGGATAGGAGAAGAAACAGCTTATGAGGTGAAGGTAGTGAATTTGATTTTGGGTGTGTTGAATTTGGAGTGGAGTTCCCAGCTGGAGAGTCCTAAAGGAAAATCCATAAATGTAGATAGAAGAGCCTGTAGGGAGATGGTGTGGGTAGAGAAATTTGAAAGTCAGTGATTTTTCAATCAGGATGAGGGGTGGGAGGACCTGCCTCCCCTGGATTGTGATATGTGGGGTTTCTTTTTAACTATTTGTACGCCGTTCCTCCCCCACCGTCAGATTTCTGACAGTGCCCTGCCGGGGCGGGAGCCCCCAGGTGAGAATCCGCCACCATGGTGACTCGAGAATATGGCCTGTTTCATTCATACTGGGGAGTAAAAATGGTGTAAGCACTGCTGGCATCTGTCCTTACAGCCTGAAACCACAGATAAAATTGCCCAGGGAGAGACAGTATAGCAAGAAGAGAAGACCTAACTAGAATCCCTGAGGCACACTTCTATTTAAAGGGCAGATGGAAGAAGAGGTACCTGCAAGTTACAGAGAAGGACCTGCCTGTGGGAGAGAGTGGCATGGAAGGAGCTGAGGGAGGAGGGGTTTCCTGGATACTGGAAGAAGGTCAGCAGTGGCCAGTGAGGCCTGGAGGACGGGGGAAGTGAGAACTGGCACGAGGTTTTGGCAGTAAGGAGGTTATGGTTGAGAAAAGTCTCAGCAGTGTGATGGGGTAGAAGTTGGATCACGGGGGCTGAAGAGTGAACCCCAAGGGTCAAGAAGTAGAGCTGGTGAGCACGGTCCATTCTCTCTTTTTTTTTTTTTTTAATATTTAGCTGCGTTGGGTCTTTGTTGCTGCTCACAGGCTCTCTAGTTGTGGCGAGCGAGGGCTACTTTTCGTTGCGGTGCGCGGGCTTCTCATTGCGGTGGCTTCTCTTGTTGCGGAGCACGGGCTTTAGGCACGCGGGCTTCAGTAGTTGTGGCTCACGGGCTCTAGAGCACAGGCTCAGTAGTTGTGGCGCACGGGCTTAGTTGCTCCGTGGCATGTGGGATCCTCCCGGACCAGGGCTCGAACCCGTGTCCCCTGCATTGGCAGGTGGATTCTTACCCACTGCGCCACCAGGGAAGCCCCTCATTACCATCATTTTAAAAATCCTATGAGTCATACTATAGAGTGAGTGGCTGTTCCCATCTGGGTAGAAATGGTCGGGTATGGTTTCATCCACGAGATGCTCCTCACAGTTTGCACAGAATGTGGGCAGGTGGAGGCAGAAGGGGAAATACCTGGAGTGAGAAGGATCCTGTAAACATGGGACTGAGGCCAGAAGTGTGTGTTCTGTGTTCCTGGGCCAGCAAGGAGCCCAATATGTCTCGTGCAGAAGGAGCGTATGGGTTACGAGAGGGAGTCAAGATTAGGATGGATAATTCAGAATTTGTGTTATAAGTGCTATGCTATATTCATAGACTTGGTTTTGAAACCCTGCATGTGTTTCTATCTGAGCAGCCAAATACGAAATAAGAAAGTAAGTGGTCATTTTTAATGCTAGGGGCATTAAAAAACCTGTAGGTTTAATGCTAGGGGCAAAAAAAAACCTGTAGGGGCAACGTTATATCTTCTCGAGAAATAATATTTGTGCCTTTGGTGCCACCTGTGAGACAGACTTTGTCCTAATAGAAAGGCCACTTCCATTTGGCCTTGTGTTTTGAAATTTAAGACCTTCATTTATGATTATTGACTCAGATGTCTCATGGAGGATTAGTAAAACTATTATGCGCTGCCACAGTCTCCTTTACAGGCTGTAATTCTCCTGGGGACCAGGCTTGGGCCTTATTTATCTGCGTATCTCTTCCAGCACTGAACACAGTTGCTGGCATAAACTAAGCATGCAATAAATTGCAGTCGAATTGAATTTTCAAAGCAGGCGAGGCTAGCCCCCTCGGCACTCGTGGGAGTGATTTGCAGCAGAGCTATGCTTTTCGAGTTACGTAACGCCTGTAATCTTGTTCTCAGGTCCAGCCTGATGACTGGAGGGGCCAAGCGAGGAGGACCCAACCCGTGGCTCTTCGAGGAGCCGGAGGAGACCAGAGGCTTGGGTTTTGACGAAATCCGGGAACAGCAGCAGAAAATTATCCAAGGTACTAAATACCCCAAGAGCGCGGGCTCAGAAACATTGTCAGATCTGTTACCATAGCCTTGGGGGTATCCCTCATACCCACTGAAAGTCGGAGGTAAAACTGTTGCTCTTGGAGAGCTCTTGGCGCTTTTGTGCCTCAGGGTACCTGAAGATCAGACAAACGCTGTTGTCCATCCAGGTAGCTCATGGAAGTAGGGATTCTCTCCTGGGAGAAGGACAGAGCAGTTCTGAGTCTGATCAGTCCAGGTGACTCTGAGGCGTGTGCCCCCTCCCTGTTCTCCACGATTGGGGATCATTCTCCAAAGAAAAAGACTCCATTTTCTTCACATATAAGTCAATTTGTTTTATTTTTTACTTTTTAATTTTTTATTGGAGTAAGGTTGCTTTACAATGTTAGTTTCTGCTGTACAAAGAAGTGATTTTGGCTTTTACCTTCAAGTTCATCTTGCCCAGTGGCTTTTAAAACTGCTAATTTCTTCTCGTCGTTAATTTCAGAAGTAACGCCTATTTGTTATACAAAGTTCAAACAATATAGGGATATATAAGGTGAAAAGCTGTATCTATTGTTTCTCCGATCTCAAACTGTAAACAGACTAACAATATATTTCCTCAGGCTTTTTTCTATACATATATACTGTATATTCAGTGTAAGCACACATATATTTTACATAAATGAGATCATGATATAGATAATTCCACAGCTTTTTAAAAAATTTAATACGTGTGATAGACATTTTTCATGTCAGTGTTACAGATGTTCTACTTTTTTAAAAACAGCTTTATGGAGGTGTGGTTGACATCGTAAATAGCACATATGTAAAGTGTATGCTTTAGTAAGTTTTGATACGTGTATACACCTGTGAAACCATCAGTACAGTCCAAGTAATAAACATAATCATTACTCCTGCCAGTTTTCTTCATGTCTGTCTGTAAATCTTACTGTCATCCCTCCCACATCCCCAGATAGCTACTGATCTGCTTTCTGTTGCTATAAATTAGTTTTTTTTTTTTTTCTGTATAAATGGAATCATACAGTATGTGCTCTTCTGTTGGGGATGGGGTGGGGTCTGGCCTCTATCTCAGTGTAACTATTTTAAGGTTCATCCGCGTTGTTCCGTGGATTAGTATTTCATTCTCTTATATTACAGAATAGTATTCCCTTGCATAAATTGACCACAGTCTGCACATCCATTCACCTGTTGGTGCGTATTTTGTATTATACAAATAAAACTGCCATGAACATTCATGTGCAAGTCTTTGTATGGACATACATTTTCATGAATGACTGAGGCGTATGTTTAACTTTATTTTAAACATCTTCATTGGAATATAAGTGCTTTACAATGGTGTTAGTTTCTGCTTTATAACAAAGTGAATCAGCTATACATATACATATATCCTCATTATGTTTAACTTTTAAAGACACTGCCAGACTCATTTCAAAAGTGGTTGTACAATTTTACATCGCCACCAGAAGAATTTGTGTCCCAGTTGCTTCAGATCCTCGCCAAAGAGTGTTACAGAAAGTCTTTTTAATTTGAGACATTCAAGTAGGTGTGTAGTTGCATTTCATCGTGGTGTTAATATGTATTTCCCCAATGACTGAATCTTTGCATGTGCTTATTTGTCATCAGCGTGTCTTCTTCGATGAAGTATGAGTTCAAATTGTTTACCTATTTTTAATTGGGTTGTTCATCTTTTGTTATTGAGTTTTAAGAATTTTATAAAACATATCCTTTTATATGTTTGTCAGATATTTATGTTTTAGAAATATTTTCTCCCCATCTGTGGCTTATATTTTTGGTTTTCTTAACAATGTCCTTTAAAGAGCAGAGGTTCTTAATTTTAATGAAGTCCAATTAGAAATCTTTGACTACCTAAAGCCACAAAGGTTTACTGCCTTTTTTTTTTCCTAGGAGTTTTATAGTTTTAGGTTTTACAATAGGTGTATGGTCTACTTTGAATTGATTTTTTTTAATATAGCAAGATGAAATGCATTTCTTTTTTTTTCATTTGCATATTTATTTGTTCCAGCACCATTTGAAAGAAAAGAGCATCCTTTCTCTACTGAATTACTTTCCTCTTCTTGGAAATCAATTGGCCGTATATGGTGTGGGCCTATTTCTGGACTTTCCGTTCTGATCCATTTGTTTATCTTTACATCAGTGCCACACTGTCTCCATTATTGTATCTTTGCCACAAGTCTTTAAGTCAGGTAGTATAAGTCTTCCAACTTCGTTCTTTTTCAAAATGTGACTGGCTATTCTAGATCTTTTGCATTTCCACATGAATTTCAGAATCTGCTTTCAATTTCTACAAAAAAGCCTCGTGGGCTTTTGATTGGGACTACACTGCATCTTTAATTTGGGGAGAATTGACATCTTAACAATATTGAGTCTTCTGATCCATGAATATGGCATATCTCTCCATTTATTTAGTTCTTTAATTTTTCTCAGCAGTGCTTTGTAGTTTTCACTGTACGTCTTACACATCTTTTATCAGATTTATCCCTAAGTAGTTCATATTTTTTTGTTCTTATTAATGGCATTTATAAATTTCTACTTCTGATTGTGGCTAGTATAAAAATACAATTGATTTTTTGTATACTGACCTTGGATCATGCAGCCTTGCTAATAAACTCACTAATTTATTAACAGCTTTTGGGTAGAATCTATAGGACTTTCTATACAATGGTCAGTGCCATCTGTGGATAAAGACAGTTTTACTTTTTTAAAGACTTTTTTTAAGAGCAGTTTTAAGTACACAGCAAAATTTAGAGGAGGGTACAGAGAGTTCCCATATAACCCCTTTCCCCACACATGCATAGTCTTCCTCCATTATCAACCACCAGAATGGTATATTTGTTATGATGAATTAACCTACATTGATATCCTAATCACCCAAAGTCCATAGTTTATTTTAGGGTTCATTTTTGGTGTTGTGCATTCTATGGTTTGGACAAATATAAAATGACACATCCTTCATTACAACATCATACAGAGTATTTCCACTTCCCTAAAAATCTTCTGTGCCCTGCCTGTTTATCTCTCCCTCCTCCCTCAACCCTTGTCAACCTGTGATCTTTTTACCATCTCCATTGTTTTGCCTTTTCCAGAATATCAGTAGTTAAAATAATACAGTATGTAGACTTCAGATTGGCTTCTTTCACTTAGTATGTGCTTAAGGTTCCTCCATGCCTTTTCAAGGCTTGATAGCTAACTTCTTTTTAGCACTGAATAATATTCCACTCTCCGCTTGGACCAAGTTTGTTTATCCATTCACCTTCTGAAAGACATCTTGATTGTTTCCATATTTGGGCAATTATGAAAAAGCTGCTATAAACATCTATGTGCAGGTTCTTGTGTACATGTAATTTACCAACTCTTTGGATAAATACCAAGGAGTGCGATTGCTAGATCACATGGTAAGAATGTTTAGTTTTGTAAGAAACCACCAAATTGTCTTCGAAAGTGACTGTACCACTTTGCCTCCCCACCAGTGATGAATTGAGAGTTCCTATTGCTCTGCGTCCTTGTCAGCATTTGATGTTGTCAGTTTCCAGGGTTTGGTCATTCTAATAGATGTGTGGTGGTATCTCTTGCTTTAATTTGCATTTCCCTCATGACTTATGATGTGGAGCATCTCTTCATATGCTTATTTGCCATCTGTATGTTTTTTGTTTTTTTGCGGTATGCGGGCCTCTCACTGTTGTGGCCTCTCCTGTTGCGGAGCACAGGCTCTGGACGCGCAGGCTCAGCAGCCGTGGCTCACAGGCCCAGCCGCTCCGCGGCATGAACCCGTGTCCCCTGCATCGGCAGGCGGACTCTCAACCACCGCGCCACCAGGGAAGCCCTGTATTTGTCTTTGGTGAGGTATCTGTTAAGACCTTTGGTCCATTAAGAGTTCTTTGTATATTTTAGGTAACAGTCCTTCATTAGATGTTTCTTGCAAATATTTTCTCCCAGTCTATGATTTGTCTTCTCATTTCCTTGATAGTATCTTTCACAGAGCAGAAGATTTTAATTTTAACGGAGTCCAGCTTATCAATTATTTCTTTCATGGATTGTACCTTTGGTTTTGTATCTAAAAGTCACTGCCAGACTTCTCGTTTCCTGTTCTGCCTGTAAGGACCTTGGAAGTCACCACTCCATGCTAACAATCAGTAATATAATCTGAACAGACTGAAAAAGTCACCAACTCTTCTTGGATCTGTAAGAGAGGAGGGCACAGGGCAAATCACTTCCTGCAAGATTGGAGAGACAGGAGAATATAGGGAGTCACAGCTTACTGGAGCAGAGACTTCTGAGCAGAAGCCAGTGTGGGAACCAGTTGGGTAGGAAAATCTGAACTGTCATTGATGAGTGGCTGGAGGCTCAGTGTGGACAAATCTGAGAATTAAAAACTCCAGGGGACCCAGTCATAGTGGGGTCCTCACAGTTGTGTGAGATTCACCTCTAGGAGCTCTACCAGGTTCTCACAGTAAATACCAGAGAAAAATCCCCTCCTGTTTCTGGTGGAGAGAGGGGAAAAGGAACCATTTTGGAATATGCTAGAGCACTCTGTTCTTAACAAGATTTCATCCTCAGGAGAAACTACTTAACCAGGACCTAACTTGCTAAATTATATTAGTCTAACTGACTTTGGGGAAAGGAAATGCCTAACTCTCTAGCCCACTAGCCATCCTGTCCCACCTAAGTGGCAAGGGGAGGAAAAAACTTTGAAACCCTTGTGACGTTCACAGTCCAGAGACATAGACTCACTAAAGACTGGGACCTAATGATAGGACTGTAGAACACTCCCTTAATGCCCACACTTTACCACACCTTTTACTAAAAGTCTTTTTACAGCAGTACATTTTACCACATACATCCTGTCTAATAAGAAGAAATTACAAGGCAAACCACAAGGCAAAAAAACATAATTTGAGGAGACAGCAAGCATCAGATCCAGACATGCCAGGGATGTTGGAATTATCAGACCAGGAATTTAAAACAATGATTA